TTTTTTTTTTTTTTTATGTACTTTTTAATTGAATGTTATTTTGTTACCATGATACTGCTTACCCGTATCGGCTCAGTGGAGAATCTGATTTTCCTTCTTGGAGGCTGTTCTTCATCCTCAGACAAACCAGGAACTTCCTCAAACTCATCATACACCTCAGTTTCATCCTCATCCTCCTCAACCTGCAGGTCCTGAACCAGTTCCTTATCATCCACAAACGCTGCGCTCTCAAAACTATAAAACACCGGAGAAGTTTTCCCACATTCATCTGGATTTTCCTGCTCGCTGTCCTCATCATTATCTTCATGACAGCTATTCCTCTTTTGTATGATCTCCTCCTCCTCCTCTTCTTCATCCTCTTGATTTGGTTCCTCTTTCTTCAGCTCTGCTGAGAAGCACACATCCTTCTCCAGCTGTTTGTCCTCTGAATGGTTTTGAGGTGATAACACCTTCAGAGAGTCAGCAACATGTTCTATCGGTGCCTCAGTTTTAAGTTCCCTTTGTAGCTTCACCTCCATCATAACATCCTCCAAAAACTCTTCATCACTCTCCTCGCTTTCTGAAGACTCGTTCTGGACCACTACCAGCTCAGCCCGTACCACTCCTGCACCAGTGGGGTCCAGACATTGTGGGGCCTGCTCACAAGAGATGTCCCTAGACGGACTGCGAATTATGTGGTTTTCACTTTTTGGTTCCTCAGGATTCAGAGGCCGTTTATATAGGCTACTTGCTGAAGATTTGACATCTTTCGCAGGAGTACTACTAAGTTGGGTTGGTTCATTTGTCATGGACTCTCTCACCGAGTCATTTCCCGATGACGGAGACGGTTTAAACGGGCTTTGAGCAGTGGGTGAAAGAGGCTCGCCAGTGCTCCTGCTGGTCGGAGAGGTCGGGTTATATGAAATCGGACTGATGGACTTGAACGGAGGGCTGTGAGAGTCTGTTTTAGGTGAGAAAGGTTTGGGTGATGTGTCAGAGTTTGGGGATGTGGGTTTGTGTGCTGGATCAGTACCAGGGGAGGTGGGTTTCTGGGAACTCCCTCGTAGAGGTGATGGCAGCGAGCGCTCAGTGGGGCTGCTCAGTTTCTCAGGACTTTCAGCAGAAGCTTGCACTGACTCGTCTTTGTCGCCATCCACAATGAAGTTCTCCAACCGCCTTGAAATAGGCCCGGCGTTAAGTGATAGTCTATTGACCTGTTTTGAGTCCTCAACATCCCTCCTTTCCTCTGGGGCACTCCCCACGGGTGACGTCGGGCTTTTGATGACACTATTGCTGCAATTTTCAGAAGATCCAAAGGACCTCCGGGCCCCACGAATAGAAACTCTGCCGGGCACTGCGGCAGGCTGCTCTTTCATCCCTCTCTCAAAGAGTTTTCTGGTAACTGAAAACTTTTCCGCCAGGGTGACTTTATCGACCTCGACTTCCTCTCCCTTTAGAGTTCTGTCCGCGCTCTGCGGCTCTTGGTTGTTGGCGCTACTGAGGCAGGTTTTGTGAGTGCTGACTGGGAACTTGGACACTGGGGATACAGGAGAAGATGTATCTGTTTTGTGAGCAGGTTCCTGACTCTCAGGCGGTTGCTGGCCGTCCATTTGCAGGAAGATGTTCTTTATTTTGTTCACCCGGTTGCCAAACGGCCTCCCTCTAGTGTCCTCCCGGGGGTCGCTGGCTCCATTAGCATAAGATTTGGCCTCGCTGTCGGGTTTGGTGCCATCAAAAGAGCACTTAATGGCGTGGAAGTCCGTCCCGACTGCACTGTTGATTCAGTCCAGGTCAGGTCGAGAACGGCGTGGGAAAAGAACCTCGATTCATCCGCCGCTCCTGTGTTCAATGAAAATAAAATAAAATAAAATAAAATTCATGAAATTTGTCGATTAAAAAAAATGTAGCCTATGGACAACCAACAAATAAAAATATGCACATATTTAAATGTATTAATTTAACATTTCATTAAAGTTCATCTTCATAGGACTTTAAAGCAGGAAGGTAGGCCAGTAACTGATGGAACTAGGAGTTATTCAGTGCTATGTGTGCTCTGCAGACCTCTAGGGTCCCTGACACACGAGTATGTTCTACCCCTCAGATGACAACAACAACAGCTTAATGAACTTTCTGAACGTTTTATGTCCTTGCAACAGCCTTTTAGGCGTAATTCATCTTCTCGTAATGGCCCAGTAGTGTGTAGGCGATGCCAACAACCAGGCCATTTTGCCAGTACTTGTGATAATGAGCACGTTGTTTCTCAGGTTCAGCACCACCAGCCCCATCATCAGCCTCGTCCCCCACAGACCTTGTGTCCTTCTGGTCAGCCGACGGAAAACTAGCACTAGCAGAGCCGCAGAGCAGGAGGGGATACTATTGGCTCAAGTGCACCAAAGCCTGACCACGCGGCCACCCTGCACACAATTTAGTAATAAAAAAGAAACAGAAGACAAAAAAGGTGCGAAATCAAAACCACATGCACAAGGCAAATGGGTCAAAGTTCAAACTTAGGCTATTATAACCTCTTTTAAAAAACGTCCTTTTAAATCTCCTCGTGTCCCGCGGCCATACTCTTCTGCGGGTCGGAAATGTCCGGTTCACCATTTCGCCTTAGTGGACAGAGTACGGGCACATCACGTCTCCAGCGCGGTCCTTTAAGCAGTGCGAGGTGGGAACAGGGACTATAGGGCACCTGGGGCTGCAGTCTCTCAAGTCCCTGGGTCTAGTAATATCATGGCATTAGCCGTTTTTAGACCCTGGGTTTAAGACCACCCACCCCTTTTACTTTTCCTTGTTATTGTCGGGGCGCCGATACAAAGTTGGGGGAAGATGTAGTGAGGTCCCTTGTAAGACCGTAAGTTCCTTTAAGAAAGTGACAGGGCCCCTTTCAGAGCGTTTCTCAGTAGGCGGAAGTGTGCGCGCTAGTAAATTGCCATGTGCTTTATAAGACGGAGTGGTGGTTTGGAAGGGTTATAAACTTTATTCCCTATTGAGACTTAGGTTTCCCGTTCGAATAAGGTAATTAATTATTGGAGATGATGTAATATTGTTTATTTTTTTTAGGATTTGCCGTTTAGTTGCCACTGCTGTCAACTACATAACCCAGTTGTATTCTTTTGGGTTATGTAATATTTTCTTTTCTATTCGTTGGCTGTTGTCTTCTGTGGATTAATCTGTTATTCCATATTGTGTGCGCCTAGTGGAATTTGTTATTGTTATGGTGTTTATAAATGGGCTGCATTGCCTATTAATGCACAGTTTTCTGAACATTTCCACTTTTGTGGAACCCAACTAATTTTATTCTCTTTTTTTATTTTTTTGTTAAGCTTTGTTATAGTTGAGAAACTCGTCTCTATTCCTTTTATTGGGTTGGTCCACACGGATCTGTGCTTATAACTTAACCTAACATTCCCTGAAGAGAACAAGATTCAGGGTGGCCTAGTCAGGCTATGGTTGATTTGGCTTAGTAATTGCCCATAGACCTTATGTTGCCCTCACGCTACATTAATGTAAAAATTAATTGAAATGAATTTGAAATTTAATTCAGTTAAATTAAATGTATTTTTTAAATGTAATATAATTTAAATGTAGTTTATTTTCATTGTATCTTGATTTAATTGTTTTAATTCTTCAATTCTTCTTCAATTATTTTTCAATTTATTAATTATTAATATTTGTGATTTAATGTTTAATGAATTAATTGAAATCATTAATGGCCTTTCTATGATGAGCCTTAAAATAAAGACGTAGGCTCTGAAGGCTGAACATGAAGGATTGAACCACATGTTTAATAATGGAGGTGAACAGATTTTTAAGTTCAAGAATCTGTCATTGAAACCCCTAATTGATTGGCCACTAATCTGAATATTTGTCATCCTTTGGTGATTACAGCACTGAAAATTACAAAAGTTATAGGTCAGAGTTCAGATTGCAATGCGAATGCTTGCTGTTGTCACAATGATTTGTTTATCTCAACTTGTGCTGTAATAAACATTTATCTTACTGAAAAGAAACATTGGTACAGTTCAGTCTCTGAATACAAAGCATGTGTGTTTCGGTGTGATGTGGCAGTTGGAAACCCCGTCTCATGTCCCAGCTCAGTTCACAGATGTCTGTCTGATGTTTCCTTCAGTTCTTATGTCTGGCAGTGTGTGTGTGTGTGTGTGTGTGTGTGTGTGTGTGTGTCACTAATGTGCCTGCTTCAGTCAGACCAGAATATGTTACAGGGTTAATACAATTTTTAGTTTTTGTTTTGGTGCTGCTTTCACATGAAAGTTATATAAAGGTATACATATACAACCAAACCTGTTTTAAACCCTGTATCTCATCATTACTGTTAAATATACTTTCAGTCCACATTTTTTTTAAACACAGGGTCTTTGTAATGTGTAATGAAAACATTTGGTTTAATCACCTAAACTCAAGAGTATGATCGTCTTTCAATGTAGTAACAATCAAATCATTCCGTAGCAAACAATGCAAGATACATGTTTCAAATCAGCCTTGCTGCTGAATTAAAGTTGTTACGGTAATACAGGCTACAGTTGCCCCATTGGAGAATACACTTACATTACCTTACCTTACATTAACCTACACAATTGACATACAGTCCATAAAGTTTGTAATACTATCTGTCCAGTCAGTGTATTATCAAAAGGTGTGAGGGAGGTATGATATGGCCATGAGGTGTTCTAACGGTTTGCTGCTAATACAGTACATGTTCTCACTGTACATTATGACTGAGACTGTACTGTAGTTTCACCCATTCAGGGTGACCTAACAAAACAGTAATTTGCCAGTCTCTACCATGGTAAGACCTCAGTTTACAGTCCCAATGGCTTACTGTAATCTACTGTAAAATGCTGTATTTTGATCTCATCTAAAATTGCCTTCTTTGGATGCATCTCTGATTAATCTGACAGATACATATTTACTGATTGTTTCACATGTCTTGAACTCTATGTACAAATCTCTCTCTCTCTCTCTCTCTCTCTCTCGCTCTCTCTCTCTCTCTGATTTAAATTGCTTATACCGTAACAATAATTCATTATACTTAGTAAAATTGCAAATCATGCAAAATAATCTATATCTGTTTAGATTTACCAAATGATTCACTGATTAACCATTAAGATCAGTTGGATTTAATCACAGACAAATGTATTAAACTGAATGAGAAAAGAGGCGAATGAAAAGTTTGATAGTAATATGAAAGGCAGTTACTGTGAATGAAATGTTTACGTAGATGAAACGTACATTTTGTGTTGTATGTAGGATACTTTGTGATTTTGTGTTTTGTACTAATCCTTATTGAAATTAGGACTAATTTGGGGTTTTAAAATATTTCAAAGCACTTTTCTGGATAGTGATGATGTCTGAGAAGAACTAAATTAAGTCTTTGTTTTTGGGTTTTCCGGTGATAGTATTAAGCGTAACAGATGCTTTAGTTGTCTTTAGTGTGTCTGTGTGAGAGTGAATTCAGTTCCCCGGTGACCAAACAGCTTATATTTCAGAAAACCGCCACTGAGAAACCACAGGGAATAAATAATGAAAGGGGGAAGTAAACCGGAAAAACTGAATAGCATATGATGAAAAATCTACACTAGACCAAAGAGACCATGACAATTTTTCTTATACAAAACTACTGCTATACACAATTGAGTGTATTGTCCTCATATAACTTGGCAGGTAATGTAGAGGTTTGGGGTCCATTTGACCTCAAGTGAATTCTTTTCTGTAGTTTTTCCCTGAAGTGTTGCATATACCTTGAAATAAGAATGACTAACATTCAGTTTAATCAGAAAGGAGCTCAACAAGATCTCAGTGTTTTTAAAAGGAGCATGTTTCCTTGACTTACTGATAGTAGTAGAGCTCTGCCTCTGGTTTAGGGTTTGTTTAGAAGCGCAGTCGGATTGCTGGCATTTCCTGCTCCCTCGTTCCAGTTATCTGATGAGCACTTCAGACAGGCCCTCCACCCTCCTCCGCATTTAACAAGATCAACAGAATGACTATTTACATCCTCACAGACACTGACTCTTATTTTATGAATGGCCTCATATCACTGGTGACACTTTAAGCCTGCTATGATCATTTATAGTATATTAGTAGTACATTAGACTAGGCTGATACTCACACACACATTGCTTTAGCATGCTAAAGTTAATGAGATGTGCTCAGACAACATGCAACCAGGACTTTTTCTTTGGTGTAGAAAGATAGATCTGCTCTGATATGGTTGATCGCAGGTAATCATGGATATATCTCAGATTCATCCATGCAGAAGAACTACTGACATTAAAAAAATAAACAACTCCGCAAGTCGAGTCAAGTCACATTTATTTATATAGGGCTTTATACAATACAGAAAGCAGCATCACAAAGATAGAGCTAGAATTTTTAGCAAAGCAGCTCTACAAAAGATAACAGTATAATTTTTCAGCTCAGTGTAGTTCAATGCTGATTCAGTTCATTGTCAAGAGGGAAATGAAAAGTTTGATAGTATTAGAGGCAGTTACTGTGAATGAAATGTTTACGTAGATGAAACACTTTTTTTGTAGTGCGAAAAGGATACTTTGTGATTTAATGTTTTGTACTAATGCAATCAAAAACACGCTGAAATGTTTTTAAAAAGTGTATTTTTGATGATCTGTTTGTGAGAGTGTCAATGTTGCAAAGTCATTTGTATTGTATGTATGTTTCGATAGAGAGGCCAAAGATCCATAGTTCACATTTAAAGTCAACATGAAACATATAGTGATGTATTTCTGAGTGTAACAGAATATTAAATGAGAAAAAAACAGTCTGGGCCTTGATTTTAACACATCGCCTCACAGCAGACTGACAGATGGAGGGCAGTGGTTAAAGGGACAGTTCACCCTAAAATAAAAATTCTTTCGTCATTTACTCACCCTCATGTTGTTCCAAACCTGTATGAGTTTCTTTCTTCTGCTGAACACAAAAGAAGATATTATAAAACGGAGAGTTCCGGTCCTTGATTCTGATTGGCTGAGCCACGTTCGAAGCTGTTGTAAATTACTCTACAAACATACACCTTTGTTTACGTTTGTCCGTTGCTTGGCAACCACCTTGTTGCAACCACAACCAAAGTCCTTTTAAGACAAGTCATGTCACTCGGCGGCCATCTTTGAAACGCCTCTCGGGCATGCAAGTGCAACTCCTATCTCTTTGAATGGGGAAACATCAAATTCTCCAAAACTGTTCACTAAGCTTACGATTAAATTTCATATATGAAATCTCCAAAGAAATCTGACAACAGCTGTGTCATAAT